AGAATAAAGTGCCTCACTGATGGGGAAATCAGGGCTCCCGGGAAGGTTGCTTATTTCTCAGAGGTTTGATGTGTGCAAGTGGTTTTGTATGGGCTGTAAAGCACTGATAGGTGTTGAAATTAGAAAATCATTTCGGATCTCTGATTTCTTTTGCAGCAAGTCACTCATGCAAACAACACTGTGTCTAACTTCAAGAGGTTTCATGGCCGAGCATTCAGTGACCCGTTCATTCAAAAGGAGAAGGAAAACTTGAGTTATGATTTGGTTCCGATGAAAAATGGAGGAGTTGGAATAAAGGTAGCGTAATGGAGCAAGCTTAGATTCCTTAATGGGAAATGAAATTGTCTGTAGGAGATGAAATGTAGCTCTTCTTCATTCCTGTTTTCCCCATTTAGCTTCTTTAACTGTAGCTATATTTTTAAACTGAAAAGTGTTTGAATGGCATATACTACTATAAGTTAGTATTCCTTGTAACTTGTCGGCAATTGGAAAAGTTTAGATTTACTTAGTGGTGTTTAAGGAGATGTAAATCGTATTGTCATCTCAAACAAAAGGCTGTTCCCGTGCTGCCCGGTGACAGTTGTTTGGAGAGCAGTCCTGTAATACAACCAGAAGTCTTTTTTTAAACCAGCAGAGGCGTTCCTGTCGTGTGATCCACACGAAATAATATTTATCCCAGTGATTCATCTCTTTAGTTAGCCTGGAAATTTACTACCTTCTATGATGTGTGACTATGCTTCAGGTCGGGGAACCTGCCCCAGCAATTTCTCCTCCTCTTCATCTCCAGGGAAAAGTTCTTCCGTTTTCTCTTGGCCTCCCTTTCCCCGTTCTACCTTCTTCTCTAAACAGCTATAACAAAGATTTTCTGGAAGAGAATATGTAATAATGCTTGGAAGTTAGTGTTCTCATGTAGTTTTAAGTACCGCTGTGTTTCACACACATTTTTCCCTCACCGTAGGTGATGTACTTGGACGAAGAACACCTGTTTAGTGTGGAGCAGATAACAGCCATGCTGTTGACTAAGTTAAAGGAAACTGCTGAAAACAACCTCAAGAAACCAGTAACAGATTGTGTCATTTCAGTAAGTAGAATTCAGCAAGGCAGAGCATTTTCTTTTAATTTGCCTGCTTTATGTTACTCTTTAGCATCCAATGTGTGAGGGCTGTTTTGTTGCTAGAGGTATAAATTCTATGGACCGTAGTCACGTGGTATGAGGAGCCTTTCGGAGCAGGTTCGGGTGCTTTTTTTAGCCAGAAGTTGTGAAGCTCTTGACTGGAGGGAGATGCAAGTCAGAATCTCCTCTCAGGCTTTTTGAAAATGCAAGTTGCATTAGAAGTTGTAAAATGTAACCCACCAGTAGTAACAAAACGTAGGTTTTCGGCACGGGCCAGCCAGCCCACTGCCTTCAGTGGACAGTTGTCAGGTTATCAGGGAATGTGTGGAATGGAGGAAAACCATCTTTTATTTGGACACAGAAAAGGTAGTTGTGAAGTCTGCTATCCCAAGTGACTAGGGTCACTTCTCGGTCTGCTGAGCCCCAGGACTGTCTGGGATGGACTCCCGACACCCTGATCTCTGTGTTACAGCCTGGGGAGGGTGGCCCGCCCCGACCAAGGAGAGCCTTTACGGCAGCACGTCCCGGGATGTGCAAGAACGGGCCAAGGGTGACGGTCCCCCTCCTGCCCTGGGAAGAGCAAGGTGATCTGCTGAAAGGATGGCTGCTTGTTGCTAGGGGAAAGTGTATATTAAGCTCTGGTACAACTAAAGAGTTAAGTTATGAATCAGTGGTCTTTCCTTTTTTTTTTCTTTTAACCTGATGAAAGCAGTGTTCTGATTTGAAAAGTAAGCAGAGACCCACCTTTGCTCTTGCCCCTCTCCTGAAGCATCTACAAATACTTAGGGCAGAATATGAAAGCCGCTGCACTGTTAGGGACCTTCCAGCCTGGTCGTTCCTAGGTGTATGCTCAGAGCATCCTGGTTAAAGTGCTGTCCTGGAAAGCGACCAAAGGAATTAACTAGCTGGAAGCCCCAGTCTGTCAGCATCGTAAGAAACTCCTCCCTTGAGCTGTTTCGCTCTTCTTCCTCTTAGGAAAATCAGCAGGCTTTGCCAGGACAATGTTTTCGTCATCTTAACAGGTTTGCTGAATTAGAAGGTACCCCTTCATCTCTCAGCGCTTGAACTCCATGAAGAGCAAAATTAAAGGGCAGGGCATATGCGAGAATGAGCTTTGTAGTATCCTTAAGTCCCGTATATACTCTACCTGTAACTAATTATGTTTAACATTAAACGTTGACAGCATTTAATTTCTAAATGTCAATTGAAATTTAAGGCTAATTTGCAAATGATATTTCATCCACATTAATTTAGAGCTTTCTATTAGATTTAAGTAACTGCCACTATGTCTTAACGAATACTCCTGAGTAAATTTTATTTCAGGTTAAAATTTTATTATAATAAGATTTTGATACTGTGATCTTAGGGCAATCTTTTCAAAAGTAGTTACTGTTCTGAAAGTTAAGCAACTTACTAAAGATCTAGTTCTGTTGTATGACTTGGCAGGGCACATATTTAATTGGACTGTTAGGAATTCATTACAAGTGGTTAAGGGAAATTTATATGTTTTTGTGTTCCAGATAAGTTAAAGTCTTTTCTTCCTTGTTGCAGGTCCCCTCTTTCTTCACAGATGCAGAGAGGCGGTCTGTGTTAGATGCTGCACAAATTGTTGGCCTTAACTGCTTAAGACTTATGAATGACATGACAGCCGGTAAGGAACTATTTTTGTGAAGTGGGTGGATTATCAAAACTAGAGTTAAGACATGCCATGCCAGGTACTATTCCTAAACGTCTTTTCGTGTGGGTTAGAAATAGTTTATTAAAAACCAAAAACCGTGTTAGCTCGAAAGCAAAAATTCCAGCTTTTTTAGATGGCTTATGTTTCATGAAAAATTGGTACTTTTTCAGATTTATGAACCCGTTTTCATTAGAGAATTTATACATACTCTGTAAGCATTTGAATTAAGCGTGTAGAACTTAGTTTTTTATTTCCTTATGTTGTTTTTATAGTTAAAGTTTTCTTAATACCTTATGATTCTAGGTTTCACAACTACCTTCTTAATACCTTATGATTCTAGGTTTCACAACTACCTTAACTAAAGGACAGTTTAGTTAAACATTTTTGTCCTCATATATCTCTCAAATATGTGTAGTTAGGCCTTGGTCATCCATCTCTGTCAAGTATTGACTTCAGCTGTTCCATTTGCCAGGCACTGGATTTGGTATGGACATGGTGGTGAGCCGAGTGGTCACCGCTGTCACCTAGAGCTTTTATTGGTTTTTATATGATTACAGGTGAACAGAAAGTCTGTTCTAATTTAGTGTGCTCAGGCAAAGCAAATAAGACTTTTTTCCAGTATGTTTCTAATAAATTTTTTTTCTTTAAGTTTTAACTAAAGTTTTGATAAAGGTATTTTCTTTGGTATACATGCTTAGAAATATAGTGGCTTCAGAGTTCTGAAGAAGGTAACACAGACTCTTTAAGGAATATTAGTTATTTGCCTCAGATCTAAAAGTAATTGGTAGTAACTGCAGTTGCTGTGGTTGTGCATTAAATTCCTAACTTTTCGGGTGCACAGTCTCTTGGCAGGTTGTGGTTAAATGTAAGTATTGTGTAATGAGTCCGATGTTGCTTGTGGTTACATGTCGTCGTATTTGCGCCATGTACGTCGCCTTCTTCACATGTCTCTATATATTGAAAAATGGTAGAGGATTGTCCTAAAACCAGAAAGGGAAGAGGTAATCAATGCCAAGAAAATGAGTACAAAGTCAGTATAAAGGGAATGTGTTCAGCTTTGTTTGAAGGACAGTCAAGTTGCATGCGTGATTATATTGGTAACAATGAAATTCCTAAGAAAATGTGAACCAAAGAATTGAAACATGATTTTATTTTTTTGTAGTTGCTTTGAATTATGGAATTTATAAGCAGGATCTCCCAGGCCTAGATGAGAAACCGCGGGTAGTGGTTTTTGTTGATATGGGACACTCCGCCTTTCAAGTGTCTGCCTGTGCCTTTAACAAGGGGAAATTGAAGGTAAAGTCATAAGTTGGAGCTAAGGGATCAAACATAAACTGTGTTAATTTGTCATTAAGCTGCCAAGGTTCTCGACTGTGGTCTTGGTGAAGAACAAGGAACCGCCCCCAGGGCAACTTCATAAAGCTGCATCTAGTAGTCATGCTGAGGGGAGATGTTTTTAAGATCATCTTCCACATAATTATTAAAAATCAAAAATACCATAGAAATTTAGTTTTTTGTTTGGAACTTGTAGTCACATTTCTTCTCATTGATTTGGATTTCATATTATAATCTAAATGGAAGTCTTGAGCCTATTAGTCTTGAGCCTATTAGTCTTCAGTTAAGATTTTAGTTAAAAATATGACTCAAAAGTAACCAATTATTTGTTGTTTTAACTAACTTAGGTACTGGGAACAGCTTTTGATCCTTTCTTAGGAGGAAAAAACTTTGACGAAAAGTTAGTGGACCATTTTTGTGCAGAATTTAAAACTAAGTACAAGTTGGATGCAAAATCCAAAATCCGAGCACTGCTACGCCTGTACCAGGAGTGCGAGAAGCTGAAGAAGCTGATGAGCTCCAACAGCACAGACCTGCCCCTCAACATCGAGTGCTTCATGAACGACAAGGACGTTTCGGGAAAGATGAGCAGGTGCGTCTTGAACTCTGCCAGGTCGAGTGGAAAGCGCTTCTTGCTGCATCAGAGCCCAGGGGTCGGATGCAGCCATGGGGCGTGCGACTTGGCCCGCATTTCGGGGTTGTGCATGCCAGAAGACCTTCGGCATCATGAGAACAGGGGCCCCCTCTGCCAGGCAGGATTTTGGAGCTTCGCTAAGCACCCTTGTGACGAAGGCTCTGGTATTCCCCAATTTCTAGTATTCCTGGGCCGGTAATTGAGTACTGGGTTCATGGAATAGTACACAAATATTTTGAAGGGAATGAAAAAAAATACCCAGGGTGGAGAATTGGATCACATAAAGTGTTTATGAGTAAAATGGCGATCTTAATATAAAAGTGATCTTTTTAGTGATACCAGGAGAACTAATTTTTTCTCTATCTCCTTTCTGTACCTCTTTCGTCTATTTTTTAAGAAAAGTAATAGATTACAGTTAAACGTAGCCCGTGTAGAATCTAGGGTATCTGAGGGGAAAAAAAATGAAATTCATGGAGTTGGTTTGTTTAAAAACAGTAGGACACAGTGTTGGCCTGTAGGTAGCTTTTCTAAAGATTTATAAAATGTCCACCTTACTTGCCAAGGGCGCAGTTTGAAGAGCTCTGTGCTGAACTCCTGCAAAAGATCGACGCCCCCCTTCGTTGGCTGATGGAACAGACTCAGCTCAAAGCAGAAGACGTGAGTGCTGTCGAGATCATTGGAGGCGCTACACGAATTCCAGCCGTGAAAGAAAAAATTGCCAAATTCTTTGGAAAAGATGTTAGCACGACACTGAATGCAGATGAAGCAGTGGCCAGAGGGTGCGCACTGCAGGTACTGCCCTCAGCCCTTCCTTTTCTCGGGGCTCAGGCCCCAAACTATTTCTCCTCGTTTCATTGTAGTGGCAGGCAGAGCACAGGGGCATCACCTCTACATAAACCCAGGAGGTTGTGGTGAGAGGAGGGTCCTCAAATGTAGAAGACCCAGGAAATTTCAGACTAAAAGCACTGCAGGGCTGGGGCCTCTCAGACTAGGGGCGGGCTCACAGGAACCCGCTCGATGCATGGACTAGCCGCGTGGTGGCGGCAGTTGTTATGACGCCTGCAGGACTTGGAATGTGGTCTGGCCCTGTCAGGATTAGACATAAGGACTGGGGTGAGGGATGGGGGAGTCTGCAGGGTTCGGCATGTTGATTTTAACTTTACCAAGTAAGAAGGCAGCTCAGAGGCACGAAGTTTGGCAAAGCAGAAATGCCAAATCTAGATGTTAATGATTAAAAAAAAAATTGACATTAGTTTGTATTTAGGATGTCATAGTCAAATTTAATAGTTTTAACTAAAGTTTCAAGTTAACATGCTTGAATTTTAATCTGGTTAGCACAGTTTTTAAATACAAAGCAAGAGATTCTGTGGACAACGGTGTGAAGACAGGCAGCCCTTTAAAACTTGTGAAAGGCAGGATGTGTAGACACTGAATATTAACTGGTTATCTGTTGTGTCATCATGACCCATCGTAGGGTCTTTGCTTTTTCCTCAATAACGGAGTAATTCCCAGGAATGGAAGATTATAGTTTCTTTAGAAGTGTGGCCTTGGCCTCTTGGAGGCTGCATGGTGATCGGAGGGTAATGGACTTTAGTTCGGTCACGGCTTTGGTCATTTTTATGTCGCTAGTGTAAATGCACCTGTCTGTTGTGTGTTGTTCACCTCAAATTTGAATTTACCATTGCTTCCATCTTTTATAAAATTACTTGCAAGTTAGAACTTTCTGGGTTTTACCCATTTTCAGTTTCCTAGACATTTGACAGGCGATATGGACAGAGCCTTTTGTGGATACGTTCACTTTCAAAAGTAATGCAGGTTGTACTTGACATCGCTGTCAACAGGGCACGTCTAGAAAGACCAGTGTCATTTCTTCAGCCCCTATGAGACTTATTATTAATTAGCAGTTGCTATCCAAAGATTGATTGTATCATTTGTCATTATAGCTAGTGATTGGCCCAGTATTTAGATGAGAAATCATTTATGTTTAGGACAGTGTATTCTGCAAGCAGTTTTGAATTTGAATTTAAACTTACTTATTCCATTTGAATTGAGTTTTATGTTCAGAGATGAGAAATTATTTATGTGCTCATGATAATCCTTTCTTCTTTCCTTTTTTGAAGTGTGCAATCCTGTCCCCAGCATTTAAAGTTCGAGAGTTTTCCATCACGGATGCAGTTCCTTTTCCAATATCGCTGGTCTGGAGCCACGATTCGGAAGATACCGAAGGGTAAGTAGCAGAGAAGAACCTTCAGGTAACGTATGTTAACATAACGAAAAATTCATGAATGGCGTCTACAGTAGTTTGGTTCGTCTACCGGGACCCTCCAGCAACCAACCCTGTGAAAGTAGTTCTCTTGCTTGGTGCTGCGCGCAGTGGGGTAGACCGGCTGTAGGTTTTGGAGGCGTCTTTTGTTGGTGAAGCATGGTGAGCGCTGACTGCCTTTGCTTCCTCCAGTGTTCACGAAGTGTTCAGTCGAAACCACGCTGCACCCTTCTCCAAAGTCCTCACCTTCCTGAGAAGCGGCCCTTTCGAGCTGGAGGCCTTCTATTCTGACCCTCAAAGCGTCCCATATCCAGAAGCGAAAATAGGTAAAGCAATTAGTCATGTGTGTTTACTTTTTTAAAGATTTTGTTTACTCAGTGTGCAAACTAAACATATTAGCAATGTTGAGCGGACGTAACTCCGTGTGACGCCATTTTTGATTTAGAATAATGGTGATGCGAAATCTCGTGTGGTGAGTGGCCTGACCTGCAGAGGTGAAACGACTTGGCAGTGCGCTCTTACTTCTAAGCATCTGTGTTTAAAGCCTTCGGTACTTTTCCTCCTCTGGTGTCGTCTGCATTTAAAGCCTAACCACTTACTTTTAACTTTGACCTTTTCTCTAGGAGAAATATTACTTACAGACCATTACTGCCCATTTGAAATCTGGCTCAGACCATTGAAGCTACTTTTGAAGTGTACCTTTGCATTTTAAAAGCGCATCTCTTTTTGGTACATTTTTCTTTGAGAGGCTGGCCACAGTTTCCACATGCTGTAACGATGTTGCAGTGACTGGAAGTCCACAAATGCTCCGGGCATCTCCCTGAGCGGCCATGTCTCCTGGGCCGAATGAAGTGGGTCGATGCTACCGGGTCTCTCCGGGACTCACTGCTGCCCACGGCTTTGCATAACGAGGTTGTTGGAAGGAAGAGGTCTGACCTGGCTCTGGCCAGTTGTGTTTTTCTTACTGCTCACGACTAAAAATATTCTGGCACAGAGGTGTTTTTTTTGTTTTTTTTTCTCAGTAGTTTTTACCAATGTATTGGGAATAAATTAGTTTGAGAAATTGTTGACTGTAGGCTGATAACGTTGGCAGGTTGGGTTCTGCGTTATTTCCCCACCGTGCAGAGGATAAATCCAAGCTCTTCTGCACAAAACACACTTAAATCTCTCGTGCGGGCCTTCCAGGGTACCCCACAGTAAATGCTGTTTCCTTTCCTGGGCTACGACCCGATCAGTGATCAGCAGCTCCAGCACCTTTCGCTGTGCTGGCGGGCAGACCCGTCCATTTCCGTGTGGTTGTGTAGACAGCGCCTGAAACGCACGGCCGTTCGGTCCCACGCGGTACTTTCCACGCGCAGTTCTGGGGCCTCGTGTGGTTCGGTGGGCTCTAGAGTCGCAGCGCTGTTGGCGGTGGCTAACGCAGCACCTGGTTCCGCAGAATCACTGTGATGACACGTGCCTCGTGAGCACGTGCCCCTCAGTCTGCGGAGGCGAGGGCAAGGCGTGGGCAGCGGGTCACACAGCCGGGGTTTGAGCCCAGATCATCTGGATCAGAGTCATTCCTACTCAGAATGCTCCAGAACTGCCCTCTTCTGCCTAATAATTTCGGACTTCGAGGTTCCAGTTCACTTCTATTGAAAATACAGGAAACTTTATTCAATCAGGAAAAAACATATTCCTGGAAAGACCCTGCAGGGTTAAGATGCAGCCCGTCCCGATGTCATCTGCCTTTCACTTGCTAGTGGATTTTCACGTCTAGTTGTGCTCACCCGTCTGGAGAAGCGGGCGAGGGGGGGAAGTGACTGCTGGTCACCAGCGTCTCACGCAGTGTCGCGTCATGAGTGTTAGATAACGGAGGTGTCACAAATCCCAGGTGTCATAAGTGTCCCAGGGACATCTGAGTCTGTTTTGAGAGATAATGGTGCACATGACAGTTGGTAGAGAAAATGGGGAGACTGGAATAACGGCCTTTCTAAGCTGTTTATCTTAACCTTTGTATTTACGGAGATGCAGATTCAGCTCTTAACTTGTCGAGTTTTCATTTAGGCCGCTTCGTAGTTCAGAATGTTTCCGCACAGAAGGATGGAGAAAAATCCAGAGTGAAAGTAAAAGTGCGCGTCAACAGCCATGGCATCTTCACCATCTCGACGGCGTCGATGGTGGAGAAGGTCCCCACCGAGGACAGCGAGCTGCCTTCCGTGGAAGCGGACGTGGAGGGTCAGAGCCAGAGACCCCCAGAAAACCCAGACTCTGAGGTAGGTCTGCGGTGAGCTTTTAAGTGCAAATACACAGTTGACTTAATCCTAAGATGTAAGAGAAGGGTAGGGATTGGTTAAAATAGGTTTCAGCCATTAATTTTGATTAAGAATGTTGGGTCATGATAACAGCAGCTGCTCTATGATGGTAACATACAGCTTGGACTGTAGTGAATTGTGATTAAAGTGTGCGTAGCTTAATATGAACTTGCAGGCATACGACAGTTCAGTTGGAGTAGGTAGAGTTTCTTTGAGTATTTTTTTAAGATATAGATCACATATGGAGAAGTCAAACATTGACCAATGATTTAAGAGGAAAAGGAAAAAAGACTGTAAAAAACTAGTGAAATGTGTACGTGATACTAAAGCTGTTTTGTTTTTTTTTTTTAAGTTATAGGGCAAGATTGGCTTTGGTATTTCAGAACTTGCTTGCGTGTGGTTATGTGGGAGGAAGGGGGACACGCCTCTTCGTGGGTGATGGAGGTTCCTCTTTGTGTTCTTAGCGTAGACTCCCTTTCGTACAAGTGCTGCTTTTACAGGGTCGGCAGGAGAACTTTAAGCAACTGAAAAAAATCTGCCATTATCGTTTACTTCTGGATAATGATCAGAAGTCACAAATCGAGAGGCAGGCAGTATAGAGTTTCATTCACGGTGTGGGGACACGTGCCGTTCCGTGGTCAGAGGCCTCGTCATTTCTAGAACACGGAAGGAAAGTTATCCTGAGCCTCAGCGTTTGTCTCACCTAGAGAAAGTCCAGTCTAGTGAGCTGAGTGACTAGTGCCATGTATTTCCTCATTCGGCTACGGACACCATTATCCTGATGCCTGTCGTGTCAGTCTCTAGTGCCTCTGGATGTGTGTCAGGAGGGCCTGGCTTCCGAACACTTGAGTGTCTGAGCATCTCTGAGCTCTGACAGAAAAACACGAGCGCCTTCAGGGCTGGCAAAAGGGTCGAGGCTGTTAACACACAGCACAGACGCCTTACGCCAAGGTCTTCTGTGGGTAACTAGCGGGTCTTGCGTGTCTGAGCTGTCATGCTGTCCCCTGAAGAACTAACTGCAGGTTGGCCGTCAGTGGAGAGGTGTCCGGATGCAGGGTTGGCTCCTGCGGTCAGGCTGCGAAAGCTTGTTTCTGGGACACGCCCAGAGTCGCGGGCCCATCGCCTTTGGTTTTGAGAGAGATCGTCTGCACAAAGCTCGGTGGAAGTCTCTTAAGTGTCATCACGACAGTCAAAATGCCTACTGCTTGCTATTTAACTATGTCAACTGCTGTCATGCAAACCAGTTTTTAAAGGTTTAAAATTTCTAAGTCATTTTCAAATATTTTGTGTTCATTTTGCTTTTTCCAATGTATTTTCTCCTACCTGTTAAGATTTCAGAAATTGAGCTTACTGTCTCTGGTGCCCTGTAACCTTTACATTTTTCCAAGTACACCTACTTTCTACATCCTTTGTGCCTGGGCTTTCATTTCAGAAAAGTATCCAGCAAGACAGCAGTGAAGCTGGAACACAGCCCCAGGTACAAACTGATGGTCAGCAGACCTCACAGTCTCCCCCTTCACCTGAACTTACCTCAGAAGAAAACAAAACCCCAGATGCTGACAAAGTGAGTGATTCTTCTAGTTCATTCCATTGGACAGTGTTGCAACATGTGGTCGTTGATGATATTATTAAATCTGCAGTTTGAAGAGCAAGCACCAAGTTATTTTATTCTTTGTAGGATTTTTTTCTGTTAATTTTCTGTTTCCACTAAAACCGGTGGCAGGGACTTGAGCTCAGCTAAGGGGATTGATATCTTGCTTTAGACCTGAAGGCACCCCTTCATTAGCTGCCACTCCGGGCAGCAAGGGACAGAAGCTCAGCGTCGGTCATCTCCTCTGTTCCGGAGGCACCTGTCGGTGCAGAGAGCAGCATGCACACCTTCCAGAGCCTGCCACGCGCTCAGGCGCCACCCAAATAGGCTGTAGGAGCCTTGGGAACTGTCGTCTCCTCAAGCCACTTGTCAAGTTTGAATAAGTTAACGAGGTTGATCTGGAAATAACCAGATTGCCTTTCGAAGTACTCATGCCTGTGGCCTGCTTCTGCAGTACTGGTCAGAAGCTAAATTAAATAGTCGTGTCCTTTTACAAACGCTGGTTTCTGATCAGACCTTGAAACGCGTGGTGGGACGGAGCTGGGAGGTGGGATGGGATCCGTTTCCCCATCGCTGTGCTGCGCAGAGCCTCCTCCGTGCCAGCTGCACGTAAGTTGGCGACCTGCCAATGGCACTCGGTGTCCCGCGTTCCGAGGGCCGAGTTCTTCACCCTCAGATGACTTAGGAATAGTTCACTGGGGTCAAAACACGGTTTCCACTGGGTAGCAGTCTCCCATTTGTGGTGTCCCCATGCCCTGGTCGATGCCGGGGGTCCTGATGGCTGCAGGGCCTGGCGTGGGCCAGCGGCGCCTTCACCGCCGTCTCGGCTCCTGGGCTTCAGCATGGCCGCCGCTCGCTGGGCCTCTGGCACTAACTGATGTGAGCCGATGGTCTCGGGCCCGTTGGGAATGTGCCGTTGTTAGGGTCTCGCCCTCTTAACTGGAGGTGGGAGCACCAGTGTCAGGCCCTGTGGAACGTTCTCGCACAGCCTTGGAGCATGCCACATCAAGCGCCAGTTTGTGACGTGTTGATTTTGTCAATAGTTGGTACAAGGCAATGCTGCCAGACAGTCTCGTCCTGACCTAACTGCCAGGCACGGACCGTCATTCGTTTGTTTTCCACGTAGCTGTTGCTCCCCTGTGTTTTGCTGCGTGAAGGTGTCTGATCCACTTGTCTTTCTTACGGTCCGTGCCCCCAGAGTGCACAGGGCATTGAAGGGTTCTCCTTGCACCAGAGGGAGGACGTCAGGGACAGTAGGCTTACAGACGGGGCCAGTGCTAGTGATGCAGCTTATAGCGCTTTGTAGACATGGGACGTAGGGACCACTGAGGCGGAAGTCTCGGGAGCAAGTTCCCGTTCCCGCTCCGTCTTTGTGGCTTTAGACAAGCTGTTGACCCCCTTTCAAGTCTGTTTCTTCTATGAAGTGCCTAGAATTTAAAATCCTTTTGCTCCCCAAAATCACCCAGTGGCATGATGCCGGGCCCCATGGGGTGGCCTTTTCCTGTTTTAGTATCTCAGCCAACCAGGGTCCAGGTAATGCCCCCACCTTGTTTTTTTTTACTCTATTTCCTACACTTTTTCTGTTGCTTGTGTGTGAGAACTTGCAGAAATGGAAAGTCATAGAAAAGGCTAGAAAACTGAAGGCCATAGGAGATGCTTACTTCTTTATCCCTGTAGTGACGTTTTTGAAAAACGTACAGTAAACTATTAGCATTCTCTGCATCATCCCATTTGCTGTTTTGAGATTTTTATCTCTCTTGACCTTGGGGAGTTGCTTATGAGAATTGCTATGACTCAAAGGCAGACAGTGGGAATAAGAATGTATACACGCAGAAACGTGTGTGCAATCTCTAAATTCAGTAGGAAAGTGTAAAAGGCACTCGTCAGTGTGATGCTGATTGTAACGAAGGCAGGTGTACCGCTGGGCTAGAGGGACCTGTGCATTTGTCACAGATAGCGATGGACCTGACACATCTAGCATGGGTTCGTCTGTCTTCAGTAACCGACTGTCAGATTCTAAATTATAAAGATGTGGCAATTTAGTATTTTTGACTCTTCAGAGTCTCAGACATTGCTTAAAGGGGTTAGGGACATAAAGATCTATGAAGCAAGGCTTTAGCAGGGGAGATTAAATTTAAGTTTAATGTGAAAAGAGAAAAATACCCTGGTGAATTCTCAAAGGAGACGGTGGCATGCCTAAGTGGCATTGCAGGCCTGATTGAAAATGGGCAGGTGAGAATCAGGTGGTCTTATTACTCTTCTAACTTCATAGATATTATTTTTGTCTATGTTACCAGCAAATATGGTAGTGTATTTTTTTTTTGTTTTTCAAGGATTAAGAACTTCTTTTCTTTTAACCTTCCTTCCCAAGGCAAACGAAAAGAAAGTTGACCAGCCTCCAGAAGCTAAAAAACCCAAAATAAAGGTGGTGAACGTGGAGCTTCCTGTCGAAGCCAACTTGGTCTGGCAGCTGGGTAGAGACCTGCTCAATATGTACATCGAGACAGAGGCAAGAGTTGGGGTTATATTAAATGTTTTTGTTCTGGAATGTTTGGTTCGGCCCTGTTGCCTGCGTTTCTAGTAGATAAAAGGCTATAAATTTTTCTCCGTATCCCAATCTTTATATAGTGTTAGGGGTAGGGTGAAGCCAAAGCCAACAGGTTTTTTAATTGTTTTATAGAGTTTAATGTTTTTGCATCCTTATTAAAGAGGTCTGTACCATTCCGCTCGGCATAGAGTCAGAGGCCCAGTTTCTTGAGAAACAGTTGGGTGCCAGCGTGTCCTGGCATGGAGCACAGTGCAGTTGGTACTTGCGGCCACTCGGAGTGCTTCCGAGAAATGCACTGTGCTTCTCTGTAGTCCAGAGTGTGTGACGTCATTGAGATTGCTTCCTGTACTCAGGTGGGAGCGTTGTTTAGAAGTTTAACAATAAATATAAGTAAGTGGGCTCTTAAGTAATTTATCTTTGATTTTAAAATGTGGTGACAAAGCTGTCTGGCCATTGCCCAATGGCTAATATCAATCCCAATGTCAAACAACCATCTGAGTGTATAAAAGTGAACAAAACTGTATAAAAGCCGTAGATTTCTTTCCTTAGTTTTAAATCTGAAATGTGAAAGCTGTATAATTTTTTATATACTGTTTAAAATACCCACAGCTTATTTGTATTTAGAAAATGAATAATTCCATAAGGTTTGTTGGAAGAGTTCTATGAGGTATAAATTAGAACTATTAACAGTAATTTTTGGGGGGTGTAGCTTGATTTTGTTAACATCAGAGCGTGGTTGACATTTCCTGTGTTTTGGCAGGGTAAGATGATAATGCAGGATAAGCTGGAGAAGGAGAGAAACGACGCCAAGAACGCGGTGGAGGAGTGCGTGTACGAGTTCCGGGACAAGCTGTGTGGGCCGTACGAGAAGTTCGTGGGTGAGCAGGTCAGTGGAGCTCCGCTCCGTGCAGGCGATATGGAAAGTGTCGTAACGTCCGACTGGACATTCGAGCCGCTACCAGATTTTGTAGCGAGCTTTTTGGAAACCGAACAACTAGGAATAGAAATTGTATCAACAGAGAGCTGGAGCCAGAGGCTCGCCAGCGCTGTATCACTGTGTTCCGTCCTAGTTTACCCCAGTGACCTCTTAGTTTTACCATCCAGAACGAAGAGCCTATCAAACATTTGTTCAGTCCGACGTTCACCGTTAGGGGGGCCAGAAAAATAAGTAAGTAAAAAAATCCTCGATTTCAGCGTCCTCAGTCTTTTTATGACTCTGGCCCCTTAGGGGTTCTCTGTCACTGTTTTATCCCATGAGACTGGTTCACCCAGTCGTCCCAAAGTCTACCAGGTGCCGTTAACCCCCTTGGCCCTTCTCTAAACTTCCAACGTCAGCTGGGAAAGATGGGACTTGGGAAAAATCAGTTAGATAGAAATCTGGGGTGGTTGAGAGACTCACTCTGAAGTTAAGAGAATTTAAATGTGGAGCCTATTTTCGTCCTAAGATCCGTGGACTACTTTGTAGTGTATTTCAGTTCTTGGCTCTGCCGGGATGTTTCTTGGGGTTGCTGTGGTTGGGGCTCTGAGGAGGGGCTGACCCAAACCAGGCTGGGCCTGAGGCTGGAGTAGGAACGCACACTTCACGTGAGTTGTGCAGGGATGCGTTTTCCTGTGCCTATGAACTGAGTTGTCGACTCGTCTCGTTTCCTGTTCAGTATTTGGAAGTTGAGGGAGCGAATAGGAAGTCCCTGAGACCTAATCTTTCTGGAGAGGAGGAGAGTCGTCGCTCTTCCACACCCACCCCGCAGTGCAGATGGTCTGAAATCGGGCTTCTAAGATCTAGTATTTTAAGTCAGCTGTCAACCAAGAGTCTCAAGTGTGTAAAAGGCCCCCCCGTGTGAGACACAAGCGAGGCTGACAGTCACGTGTCGTGTTGTTTGTTGAGCATTTCTGAGGGGCGCTCAGTTCATCCAGCACCTTCTGGAAATAAGGTCAGCCACTCAGTGGTTGATGCTTCTGACGGTGACTCTGAAGTGCTGCTTCCCCCGTTTCTCATACAGGACCATCAGAACTTCTTGAGGCTGCTCACGCAGACCGAGGACTGGCTCTACGAGGAGGGGGAGGACCAGGCCAAGCAGGCGTATGTGGACAAGCTGGAGGAGCTGATGGTAGGCCCTCCGCCCCTGGGAAGCGGTGCCTGTGCTTCAGCCTACGATTGCGACAGCTACCAATCTGTTGTATTTTGTTTTAGAAAATTGGCACTCCGATTAAAGTTCGGTTTCAAGAAGCTGAGGAGCGGCCAAAAGCGTTTGAAGAACTAGGACAGAGGCTGCAGCACTACGCCAAGATAGCAGCTGACTTCAGAGACAGCGTAAGTCTGTGCATCGCGAGGGTGTCGTTCTAGGTTTTATTGGTTCTCTAATTTTTTTTAGGTAATATTTTATTTTTCAGTTTCAGTTGACATACAATAGCACATTAGTTCTGGGTGTACAGCATAGTGGCTGGATAGTTCTGTACCTCGCGAAGCGACCACCTTAATAAGCCTAGGAGCCACCTGATACCACATGGAGTTACTACGATGTTACTGACCCTCTTCCCTGGAACTGTTTTTATAACGGGTCCTTTAATAGGACGCCTGGGACTCTAGCCACTTTCCATCTCACTCAGCCACCATCCCTACTGGATTTCACAGCCACAGTTATGGGGACTCATCTTTCTGGTGCTGGAAGCCTGGGCTGGGATGTCTGCTGTGGGGCCAGGACCCCTTGCTCTTCGGGAGGGGGGGACCTCCACAGTTGAGACATCCCTCCCAGTTCTCGACCCCCACATGCAGGTGTGGGACCAGCCCCTTCCACGTCTCCATCCCTCCTACCAGTCTCAGGGTGGCCTCTTCTGTGTGTTTACAGTTGCAGGACTTCTGTTGAGTAGACTTCAAGTGGTTCTCATTGGGGGTGGCTCTGTAGTTGTAATTGTGATGTGGTCATGTGAGGAGGCTAGCTCCACCATCTTGACTAGAAGCCCCAAGTTACTCTAGGTTTTAATAAATTAAGTTGAGTAACCTTTAAGATGAATAGATGTTCTTAAGTGAGAAATTAGCGTTTGAGACCAGAGGTAGATTTGAAGTTCATGGGAAATTTGGTCATAGTAGTAGTTACTGTTGAGTGCTCAATTCTCTGAATGACCATGCCTTTTCCATTAAGGATGAGAAATATAACCATATTGACGAGTCTGAAATGAAAAAGGTCGAGAAGTCCGTGAATGAAGCGATGGAGTGGATGAATAACGTCATGAACGCTCAAGCTAGAAAGAGTCTCGATCAGGACCCAGTTGTGCGTGCTCAGGAGATTAAAGCGAAAATAAAGGTGAGTGTTGCTGTGAGTGTTGCTGTCGGCTTACTGCTTTGCTTTCTCAGGGACGCAAAGTGCAATCATTTGAACCTTAAACGTGGCCATTTTTCCTATAGATTTTTCATCTCCTGACGGAGACTAGGTTTCTTGGGTTATTATCGACGTCATGGGTTATAGAAGACCTTAGAAGTCCCGGTTAACTTTCCATTTCATTTCATTCATTCAGCAAATGTGTGTGTTGAACCCCTACCTGCCATGTGCCTAGCCATTGTTCCAGGGGCTAAATTTCAGTGTCCTAAGAAAGTCCTGGCCTGGCGGAAGCCATCTGCCCTTGTGAGGAAGACTTGGCAGTTAGCATGTGTGGCAGTACAGAAGATGGGGTTCGCGTTGGTGGTAGAAATAGCCAGAGGGGTTAGGGCAGTGGTCCCCAACCTTCTTGGCACCAGGGACCGGTGCTCCTACGGGAATCTGATGCCTGATGACCTGAGGCAGAGCTGAGGCGGTGATGCTGGCGCTGGCGAGCGGCTGCAGATACAGATGAAGCTTCACCGGCTCACCCACCGCTCACCTCCTGCTGTGTGGCTCTGTTCCTAACAGGCCATGGGTACTGGTCCACACCTGGGGATTAGGGACCCCTGGGTTTAGGGAATTGGGGACAGTGGAGAGAACCCGGGTCAGTGTTTCATCAGGAAGGCCTTGCTGACTACGTGAGGCTTGAAGGAAGTTGGAAAGAAAACCAAGAATATACAGGCACGGTGAAGGTTAAGGAGACAAGCCTTTGAAGCCAGTGGGTTGTAATGATTCCAGCTCTTTGCTCGCTAGATTTTCTGACCTTGAGGTTGTTACTTCATCCCTGAACCATTTCCTCTTCCATAGATGGGGATTATAGTTCCTACCTTTTAATGTTGGTGCAGGGTTTAAATGTGCGGACTGGGCAAGTCCCTGGCACGTCACAGAGTGTTCCCTTCTCTTCGATCAGGCTTCACACCGTAGTTGTGAGCACGTGCAGCGAGTCAGTGGAATTCTTTGAGAGACGTGTAGTTGGAGTGGAAGGTGTGGTTCAGGTGTGCGGGGAGGGGTTGGAAGCGACCTGGCTGGGTCTGAGTTGGTGTGGTCACTAGATTCGTTTCTCTGTCTTAGGAGTTGAACAACACTTGTGAACCTGTCGTAACACAACCCAAACCAAAAATCGAATCACCCAAACTGGAAAGAACTCCAAATGGCCCAAATACTGACAAAAAGGAAGACAACCTAGATCAAGGCAAAAACGTGGGTGCTGACCCTCCACAGCAGAACGGCGAGTGTTACCCCAATGAGAAGAGCTCCGTCAGCATGGACTTGGACTAGGTGACCTGCGACGGGCTTCGCCCTTCACCTGACATGTTTTTGCCATAGTATGTGACTCTTCATAACACACCGAGACTATTTATATTTTCTTTTTTAAGAATGTTTAGAAATTTTGTGTATTATATATGAAAAAAAGAAAAAGCTTGTCTGTAGTCTTTATGATCCTAAAAGGGAAAATTGCCTTGGTAACTTTCAGATTCCTGTGGAATTGTGAATTCATACTAAGCTTCTGTGCAGTGTTACCATTTGCATCACTGAGGATGAAATTGACTTTTGTCTTTTGGAGAAACCAAAACAACTGTACTGCTTGCTCGAGGGCTGTGGGTTTCCCTTTAGCGTTCGCTCCTGCCAAGGTAGTTTTCTTGCATTTCGCTCTCCATTCCGGCATGTGTGTGGATGTTTATAAATGAGACCGTCTGATTTCCTAAGGGCTTTCTAAGATTCTGTCCAGTAGAATGACTCTTTCCTTTGATATTAAAATTTTGCCGAGTAATGCAGACACTAGTGAAATGTGTTAGCAGCATGCAGAACAAACACTTTAAAACATATCTCGCTATACAGTGCATTTGTCACGTGAAGGTGTAAAATGGAAGAGATGTGGATTCTGTTTGTAACCGGTATTGTGAAGCCTTTTATGAGCTTTAAAATAAAGTTCATCTCATGGTGTCGTTTCTAAACGGTTTTGTCACTGACTTAAAAATGGGAATGGGGAAGAGTTGGCATAAAAACGATTGCAGCAGAAGTGAAGTCACTGTGAAACTGATGTCCTTTTTTGTTACTCTTTATATCTGCTCTTTCGTGCATGAAAACGAGTTAGAGAAGTAAAGTAGCATGTGTTTATTACAGTTAAGAAGTTTTGAATATAAAGTTGAATATAATTTATAACCCACCACCCAGAAAAAAGTGTTAATAACTCTTGTTGTATATCTTTCATGCTATTTCCAGCTAATGACAGACGGTGTGTGTGTCATTGTGGCTATCATGTTATTGTTGTGTAAGCTGCTTTTTAAAACTACATCTGGGCAGTAAGTAAATATAATCGGGTGTTACAACTTCACTGCTGTGCGGAGGTCCAGTAAGTTAAAGACATACGGTAAAATATTTTTAACCAATTCCAGTATTGGTGCATTAGGTGTTTCTCAAGATTTTGCTATTCTAAGCACGGTGAATCTTTTTTACGATGAATCTTACCTGGCTGTTTTTGAAAGATGACATTGAAGTGTTGGTGGTGCGAGGAGACGCGCAGACCTGCAGACCTTGGTGGATGTGCCACCCACTAAGGTGCAAGTTTGTGCCCCTCTGATGGGGGCCGACCTGGCCTGGCCTCTCCGGGGCGATTTCACCTTTTAACTGTTGCCAGCCTGTTATGCCTACTAATTAGCTACTACGTATCAGGTGTTTCACATAGTTTAATACTTAAAACTACCCACGGGGTCAAGAAATTTATAAAATCACACTGAAGTATCAGAGTTGGGGACAGACCTGGGCACTCGAGCGCTCCGACTGGCCATCCTGCAGTAGGGACCTCATCTCCATCTGTCTGTCCAGTGCGTACACCAGCATTTTACATTTGTTTGCCTGTTGGTGTTCCATGAATATCATTCATTCTCATCTGCAGTGTTGAGTGTCGATTTTATGTAAAATGTTCTTATTAAGGATCTTTACCATTTGTCAGTATTCAAACATTTTCCCACTGTAATTTAACAGTTTTGTCATTTAGAAGTCTTGATTTTTTGTGTGTGATCTGTCACGGTTTTTCTCACGCTAATGCATACAACATATATGCTCGGTGGGCTCACGTACCTGCTGAGGGGTGAAGATAGGTTTCTGAGTGTAATTGAGAAGCTCATAAAAAAAAAAGATTAAAAAAATATGAATATGAAAAGAATTTTTTTCTCCTACCCCAAAATAGTACCTGATGATAATGGGCACCCATATCATTCCAGCCTAAACCAGTTTGTTTTTTATTAAAGACTAAAAATTTCCAGTATTCTCACTTTTCTGGAAAGACATAGTGTTTCTAAAGGTGGCTACAGTTCATGGACCTCAGGCTTACCGTTTTGGATCGGGGTAGAAAACATCACAGTGTTTTAGGAGACATGTTAATACTGACATACTCAACTGTGATATCTAAGTATGGACCAATTTGGATAAATGCTATATTTAACAGGACTGCATTTTATATTTAATTTTCACATAAACTGTCACTTTGTGACAATACTGAAAAGGTCCTGTTCTCATCGAATGGAATTGAACTTGGAGTCTAGTTCATCATGGACGCGGGTTCTGTCTGAGCAATGATTAACTTTCCTGGGCAAAGTCTATGGAGCTTCCTCGACTCATTGTCCTTGATTCCTCATCAAAAAGCAGTGTCGTGAGCCTCTAAAAAACATGCTCTCGAGTTACTTTCTGAAAGGCCAAAGGATAAACCTTATCTTCTGACGGCAGTGACGCACTCGGCAGCATTCAGGATCTTTTTTTGAGATAATTTACCTCTTGTCGGTTTATATCCAGATGTCTTATCTTGCCCAGGACTCACTGTCCGTAATCAACACAAAGCACTCCCGTCATTCTTGTCGTTTGTGGGGGGAGAGAGCTTTCCTTTCTCCAGGTGTGAAGAGATGTGAGCAGGATGATGAACCAGTCTGTCCTGGGCTGCTGGCTGCGGCAGAGGGGCCACGTCTTTCTCATAGGGACCTAACCTTTGCTAGCCTTGGGTACTTCCAAAAGACGACCAGTCCATTTGCAAGTGGTTTATAAATAATGTGAGTACATGTGACGTTTGAAAGCTGTAGGGTAATTAGCTTTTCCGGTCACTGCCAGTGGTGTTCTCAGGATGGCTGTAGAGTAGTGTGGGCTCCTTAATTTTTGTCCTGTCTCAGGACAGGTGGCAGCATGGTGTAGTGGAAAGCACATTTTGGGGTAGGAAAAGATTTGGTTTCTCATTCAAGGATCCAAACTGTGCTCCCCCCACCCCCGCACTCTGGTTTTTAGATCACCCAACTTGTCTGAATCTCAATTTCCTCCTCCAAATCTAGGTGACATGACCTTGGCCGAGTCTCTGATGTAGATTCCTCTGTGGCAAGGGTTTCCCGGCCTCAGCTCTGTTGGCATTTGGGGGGCAGGGAGGGGGACTGAGAGGGGCTGTCTTGTGTGTGTTTAACAGCATACCTGGCCTCTACCCACTAGATGCCACTAAATAAACTTGGTTGTGACAACCAGAAATGACCCCTGCGCCTTGAATCCCTGCTCTAGGGAAAGCGACTTTGAACTTCAAAATTATACACAGGGAAGGAAGTCAATAGCTTAAGGCCTTCCGGCGACCCTGTGTATGCCAGGTGCTTGCTCTCGCTTTCACAGTAGCCCAGGGGAGGGCACTGGCTCCCGTTTACAAGTGGGAAAGGGGGTGAAAGGCAGCCCGACCAAGTTCAGATGTCAGAACAGATCCGACTGACTGCAATGTCTGTGTTCTCTCCTTGGCGGCAGTGATAAAAATCAGCATGCACGGAGCCAGGCGTGCAAACACATCCTCGTTGAACTCTGTAGGACTCAAATTCCGTTCTTAACATTACCCAAGAAATGCAACCACGGGGAGGGAGATGGGTGTGGACAAACAAGCGGATCATGCACGGACCCCAGTGGAGGGCGGGTTGCTCTCTCATGTGCTGCAGCGCACCCCGAGTTAATGCACCCTCCTCAACCTCCAGTGTCGCCCCCTCTCGTGGGGCGGGCAGGGCAGAGGCTCAGCTGTGTTGGGCGCTCAGCCAATGCTTGTCGAATGAGTAGAGGAGGTTCAGGATGGACCCCCTCAGAGGCTGATGTTTAAGAAGCAGGCCAGAGAGAGGGCTGTTGGAGGAAAGAGAAGGACCGGGCTGGAGAGCCGGGAGGACAAGCAGCGTGGGAGGCGGTCGCAGGAGCAGGGGACAGTGAGAGCAGGAGCTCAGGGGACTGTGCTGCAGAGCGGTCGGAGGGACGAGGCCAGAAGGGCAGACCCGGCCATGCAGCTACCTTTGCTGGTGCTGACGGCGGTGGCCGCGAGATCTGAGGAAACGCCAGGCTCGGCCTCCCACGTGGCGGGCCAGGAGGGCCGCGGTCGGTCAGCAGGGAGCAGGGACAGCCAGGGCTAGCGCCTGCATGCGTCCCACGGCTGGGCTGGCGCTGGGGGCCGAGTGTCCTGTGGGCCGAAGGAGCCGGTGTTCTCCGCATCCCACCCGCTTGGTCTTGAATCCGTGTCTTTTGCCCGACCGAGGAAACACCCTAGAAATCAGGCACCTGCTTCAGACCCCCGCACCAGCAACGGAGAGAAGCCACCCAGCGTCCTGCTGTCTATCCGGTGTCACCGCCTCTGCCCCGCGGACCCCACCTGTCCCTACGCCGAGGCCTCCTACAGAGCTCAGGTGCTGCTGAGGACTGACCAACCACCTGTCCCCCAGCGTCCTGGCCTGAGGGGGACATCAGCCCCCACCCTTACCGCAGCTACAGGCACGTGGTGCAGACACCTTGGTGGGAGGGTGGAGATGGAAACAGGAGCCCCCAGGTGGCCAGCCCTGGTTCCTCCCGTGGTGGCTGGGGGAGGACATGCAGGGCTGGGGCCACCTCTGACCCATGGGACCAACCCCGGCCTGGAGCTCAAAGAGATCACATCCCCGACAGGCGCATTGCTTCCTACACGGGCTAATAACTCCCCACTTCCTTTCCAGAGGAGAGGTCGGGGTGTCACACTAGCTTTGGCCACCAAGCAGAGCCGTCACTCCGTCTGAGACACTTCTCCCACGGCTGGCGGGGGAAGCCCTGAGCTTCTCCCCGACGATGGTGATGAGCCTGTCCTTGGAGGGCTGTGGCTTCCAGTGGGGAAGGAGTATACCCCACACCCTCCCCCCCACTGGCCACGGCCGCCCTGCGCCCCCAGCCTCTCACCCTCCGGTGTACGTGCATGTGCACTCATCACACATTGCATCTCACGTACCACACGCGTGCACACGCACATGCACGCCACCCAGCCCCACCTCCTTGTCTCCCCCCGCCTCCCCCACCCAGGCCTCCTGGCCAAACCTCCCCATGGCGATGGCCGGCCTCTCGCCAGCCCCCTGGAGACTCCCTGTCTCCTGCTGTATTAAAGCATTATTTTATAAGGATCCATCCATAGCTCTCTCATGTGACTTGAGGACAGAAAGTGTTTCTTCATCTCCTGTGTGTTCTCAGAGCCTTGCACAGAGCCTGATATGTAAATGAAATGCTAATTAAGTGACACGTGAAGTGACAGATGGATAGGCACTGGCCAGACCCTACATTCTTGAGAAGGAAAACTTAAGTGTCTGCATCGGCTTCTGTGGCTGCTCTAACAATAACCACCCACTACGGGGGGAGAGGGGCTATTAAAACAACGGAAATTTATTCTCTCAGAACTGGAGGCCCGAAGGCCCAAATCCAGCTGTTGGCAGGATCATGCCCTGCCGTGTCCTCTTTCTACCCTACTGCGTGACAAGGTCCGGAGATGGGGACAGAGGCTTCAAGGAATGCATCGTCAAGAACGAGGACGTGGCATGTGTTTAGGGATAATTGGTTTCTTAGAAATGATCCTATTAATAGGGGGAATTTGGTTAGCACAAATTCTAGTAAGTATAAACGCTATACAAATGGATTTCCTGAAAATTGGCTCTGAGGAAAACATAGTAAA